CCTGATACTGACAAAGGTCTCATGAGTTATAAATATCATCTTTCCATGCAGGAATGTAAACAGTTCAATCTTAATAAGTCTCTTATGATTTCTCTTTCCTGTTTACCTCTTCATGTTCCACTTGAGTCCTGTATTTGAAAGTCAAATTTTCTATTCAGCTCTGGTCTTTTCATCAAGAATGCTTGAAAGTCCTCTATTTCACTGAATGACCATTTTTTCCCCTGAAGGATTATACTCAGTTTTGCTGGGTAGGTGATTCTTGGTTGTAATCCTATCTCCTTTGCCCTCCGGAATATTATATTCCATGCCCTGCAGTCCTTTAATGTAGAAGCTGCTAAATCTTGTGTTATTCTGATTGTGTTCCCACAGTACTTGAACTGTTTCCTTCTGGCAGCTTGTAATAGTTTCTCCTTGACCTGGGAACTCTGGAATTTGGCTATACTATTCCTAGGAGTTTTCCTTTGGGGATCTCTTTCAGGAGGAGATCTGTGGATTCTTTCAATTTCTATTTTGCCCTCTGGTTCTAATATATCAGGGCAGTTTTCCTTGATAATTTCTTGAAAGATGATGTCTAGGCTCTTTTTTTGATCATGGCTTTCAGATAGTCCAATAATTTTTAAATTCTCTCTCCTGGATCTATTTTCCAGGTCAGTTGTTTTTCCAATGAGATATTTCACATTGTTTTCTAATTTTTCATTCTTTTGGATTTGTTCTACTGTGTCGTGATTTCTCATAAAGTCACTATCTTCCAATTGCTCTATTCTAATTTTTAAGGAAGTATTTTCTTCAGTAAGCTTTTGGACTTCCTTTTCCATCTGGCCAATTTTGCTTTTTAGGGCATTTTTCTCCTCATTGGCTTTTTGGACCTCTTTTGCCATTTGGGTTAGGCTATTTTTTAAGGTGTTATTTTCTTCAGTATTTTTTTGGGTCTCCTTTAGCATCACTCTCAGTTTTTCCTCTACTTCTCTAACTTGCTTCTCAAAATCGTTTTTGAGCTCTTCCATGGCCTGGGACCAACTCATATTTTTCTTGGAGGGTTTGGATGTAGGGGCTTTGACTTTGTTGTCTTCTTCTGGTTGTATATTTTGATCTTCTTTTTCACCAAAGTAAGATAATATAGTCTGACTGTTTTTGTGCTGCTTGCTCATGATCCCGGCCAATTACTTGAGTTTTAAACTCTTTGTTAAGGTAGAATCTGCTTCCAATGTGGAGAGTGTACTGGCCCAAGCTTTGGGGGTTTGTACAGCTGTTTTCAGAGATACTTGTAGGGACCTGTAAATTTTCAGTTCTTCCAAGGTGGTACGATAAGGGGCAAGTGTTTACTCCTTTCCTGGCCTGTGACTACAAGTACTCCTTTCTGTCCTGTAACCGTGAGGAGGGGCTTCTCTCCGCAATCACTACAAGCTCCACCATGCCAGCACCCCTCCTCACCCCAGCACCACTACCCAGAACTGTGGCCCAGATCCAAACATGGGCAAAGCAAGAGATTCCTGCCTCAGCACTGGCAAAGAGATCCCTGCAATCCCTCTCTGATCAGCCACTGGATTCCCCCTCAGTCTGTGGGCCCGAAGCTCGGGAAGCAGCTGCCTCCCCAGGGCCAGGCTCTTGGGGAATGGAGCTGAGACCCTCCTTCCTGTCTCAGCACCGACAGAAACAGACTTTTCCCACTGACCTTCTAAGTTGTCTTTGGCATTAGTGGGTTGAGGAGTCTGGAAACCTCCACAGCTGCCTGAGGTTCAGTCCTCTGAGGCCTGCTCCAGGTTTGCTGCGGCCTGTGCACCCACACTGCGCCACGCTGCGCCGCACTGTGCTCCCAGCCCGGCGCGACACACCTTTCTGATCAATCATCCAGGTTGTCTTGGGCTGGAAATTTGTTTCACTCTGTCTTTTTGTGGGTTCTGCTGCTTTACAATTTGTTTAGAGCTATTTTTTATGAGTATTTGGAGGGGTTTGGAGGAGAGCTCAAGCAAGTCACTGCTTTCACTCCGCCATCTTGGCTCCGCCCCCTGGATGGCACCTTCTTGGACATCTGCTTGTCCGAGGTGAGGTCCTCAGCCTTTTTTTGACTCAGTGGCCTCTTTGGCATTGTGATAAAGCCTATGGACTCTTCTCATTATCATGGTTTTAAATAATTAGAGGAAATGCAAACTTTCATTTAGAAGTTAGTGAAAATGAAGATGTAAGTTTTTTCCCACCCAGGTTCATGGACTCCTTGAAATCTATCCCTGAGTCCTTTGGATTTCTGTGGATCTCAAGTTAAGAACACTTTTTTAGAGGAAATTTTTGGTCACAGTTGAATTGAACTAGTTGGCACCTGTGGTCTTTTTCAGCTCTGAGGGCTTATGATTTTGTGATGTGCTAATTAAGTATGTCAAATTGTCAGCATTTATTAAGTGCCTGCTATGTGCTGGTGATACAACTGTGTATTGGCAGTTGAAAATATGGAAGTACCTTAAATATTCTCTCTGTTCTCTGATTTGAATATCATCTTTTTAAATTCAGTTTTATTTTATTTTCAGTTCTGAATTTCCTCCCTTTCTCGCTCATTGAGAAAGCAAGGAAAACAAAATCAGTTAAACATGTGTATAGTCAAGCAAAACAAATTATTGTATTAGCCATGTTCCAAAAAAAAAAATAGACTTCAGTCTGTACTTTGAGGAGTCCTCTGGAATTGTGGTTGGTCATCGTGTTGATGGGAGTCCCTAAGACGTTCAGAGTTGTTTGTCTGTACGGTAATGTTGTTAATGTATGAATTGTTCTGCTTTTGCTCACTTCATTTTGCATCAGTTCATACATGTCTTCCTAGGTTTCTCTGAAACCATCCTCTTCATCATTCCTTAAAGCACAATAATTTTCCATCACGTTTATATACCATAACTTGTTCAGCCATCGTCCAATTGATGGGCACCCCCTCAGTTTCCAATTCTCTGCCACAGCAGAAAGGGCTGCTATCAGTTTTTTTTTTTCACGTGTTGGTCCTTTTTTTCTTTCTCTGATCTCTTTGGGGTATAGACTTCATAGTGGTATTGCTGGGTCAGAAAATACAGTTTAATAGTCTTTTGGGAATAGTTCCAAATTGCTTTTTCCAAATGGTTAGATGAGTCCATAGCTTCACCAACAGTATAGTAATGGTACCTGTTTTCCCATAGCTCTTCCGGTAGTCATGATTTTCCTTTTTTATCAGCTTTGTCAGTGTGATGAGCATGAGGTGGTTACTTCGGAATTGTTTTTTCAGTTGTATTTTCCTAATTGTTTAGAACATTTTTTTCATACAGCTATTGGTAGCTTATATTTCCTTCTCTGAAAACCGTCTATTCATATCCTTTAACCATTTATCAGTTGAAAAATGGCTCTTATTCTAATAAATTTGACTTTGTCCCCTACGTATCCTAGAAATGTGGCCTTTGTCAGAGAGACTGACTGCAAACATGATCTCCCAGTTTCCTGCTTCTCTTCTGACTTTAGCTTCACTGGTTCGCTTGTGTCAAACCTTTTTCATTTTATGTAATCAGACTTGTGCATTTAACCTCCTGTGAAGCTCTCTTTCTCTTGTTTCATTATGAACTCTTCCTCTATCCATAGATCTCACAGGTAATTCCTTCCACACCCCTCTAATTCATTGATGTCACCCTTAATATTCTAAATCAGGCGCCTCTTTCAACCTTATTTAGGCATTAGGTGTGAGATGCTGGTCTGTACCTCATTTCTGCCAGAGCACAGTGTTCCCGATAGTTTTTGTCAGATAGCGACTTCTTGCCCAAGAGCTGGGATTTGGGGGTTTGTCAAACACTAGATTGCTGCTCATTTGCATTTGTATATAGTGTACCTGATGTGTTTCATTGATCACTTTTTCTGCTTCTTCCCCAGTATCAAGCTGTTTTGATGATCATGGCTTTGTAGTGTAGTTTGAGGTCTGAGACCACTAGGACCCCTTCCTTCCCACTTTTTTAAAAAAAAATCATATCCCCTCTTTGGAGATAACACAGAGGCAGACTTCATCCTCGTCCCAGAATGAGCCCAACTTTTAAACAAGTGGGCCCAGAATCATCAGGTTTCACAGCATGGTGATAAACCAGATGTGTGTTATGGGACCCCAGAATCCATGTGATCTTAGAACTGGAGCTGAGAGGGGCCTTGGAGGCCACCTCGAACAGCCCTCTCATTTGACAGATGAGGAAACTGAGGCCCGGTGTGCCTCGCCAAATATCACACAGGCGTGAGCGGCACCATTATGTCAGGACGTGTGTGTGGCGCTTCGAGGTTCACGGTGATGCCATGAGAGAGACTAGGCAAACGCTATTTTATAGCCAAGGAAGCTTAGTCAGTCAGTCAGTCAGCAAGCATCAATTAAGTGCTTACTGTGTGCCAGGAACTGGTACTAAGTGCAGGGGCTACAGAGGAAGGACCAAACAGGTCCCTGCCCTTCAGGGTCTCACGTTCTGGTGGCAGAGATGATACACAAAGGCTTCTCAGAGATATGAAGGCAGCATGTTCCACTGGAAGTGGAGGGGCTGAGCTTTGAACCCAGGGCTTCGGAGGGCCGTTCTGGTGGGCTCTGTCCAGTGCTCCGTGCTGTAAATAAGTGTAGATACGCAGTTGTCCTTTATGGAAAGTGAACCACAGATTCTTCATCTGGCATCTCCCAGTTCTAATGTCTTTCCAAAGGGATGGAGCAGGTGGTCTTCTGAGGGCTTTTGCTCCTGTCTCATCTGTGATACAATAAACTTGTTTAACTAATTAGCATTTAACTAACTCATCTGCAGCACTTAGCACACAATGCCTAGCACATAGTAGGCACTTCATAAATGTTTATTGATGGATGTATCGATTGATTCTGGGGGCCTTGTGTCTGAGACCGTCCTAGGGTGTAGGAGGGATGGGTGGTCTTGAGGTTTAAATTTCTGCTCACCCCTAAAGCCTTGGTCCCAGAGTTATCATATAGGTGACACTTAGACCAGCTGGATCTTGAGTTTCTCACCCTCTGCCCAATTTCACCATAGGATTAAGCGGTCAGGCCTGAAGCTTCGGTTCTGCACAAACGAATCCCAGAAGTCTCGGGATAAGTTTGTGGGATTGCTTCAGCGTTTGGGATTTGACATCTCGGTGAATGAAGTCACGTCTCCTGCCCCGGCTGCTTGCCAGATTCTGAAGGAGCGAGGCCTGCGGCCCTATCTCCTTGTTCATGACGGTAAGACTGATCTCACTCCCCTAAACCTGAGACGGTTCATTAGAAGAGGGTGGGTTTGTTCTGGACGGTCCAGATTTCAGCCCATGGTGATGGCCAGTTGTGTGGCCAGCCCATGCAAGTGTTTTATGGAGGTCCTTCTGAGACACCCAGAAATGAACCCTCTTGAATGAGACTCAACGGGGTCTGCCTTGGGTCCTCCTGCCCAGAGGAAACATCTTCATTTAGTATTTTAATTTAGCTTAATTTTATCTTTTTGTCAACTTAACTGTCCATTCAGTTATCTGTCTGTCTCATCTCTCCATCCATCCTTCTGTCCACCGTATGTTATCCATTGATCCATCCAAAGTCCACAAGGATTTACTGATCCCCTACAGTAATATGTTTGGGGAATTGCAGAGATGTATCTCCCTTTCTTACTTACTAGCTGGGTGACCCTGACACTTAACCCCTGTTTACTTCAATTTCCTCGTTTGTAAAATGGGGGTAATAACAGCACCTACCTCACGGGGTGGTGGTGAGACTCGAACGAGACAGGAACTATAAAGCACTTAGCACAAGTGCCCGGCACATCCTAGGTGCTATGTAAATGTTAGCTATTGATGATGACGAAGGCCGCGGCCATAGATTGAGGTGGGGAGACTGGACTTAGGCAGCATATGAACTTGGTTTCTGACATTTGGTCAAATAAATACTTGTTCCTAGCATAGGAGGCTCATAGGATCCTAACCCTGGCATAGAGTGGAAGGGAAGAGAATAAACATTTATACAGCACTGGGCTAAGTGCTTTTTTTTTTTTTGTTAGGCGTTGGGGTTAAGTGACTTGCCCAGGGTCACACAGCTAGTAAGTGTCAAGTGTCTGAGGCAGGATTTGAACTCAGGCCTTCCTGACTCCAGGCCCAGTGCTTAATCCCCTTCCTGTACCGCCACTCGCCTTTAGGCAGCTAGGCTGAAGGGACCTCAGAGGCCCCTCATCTGCCTCCCACATTTTACAGATGAGAAAACTGCAGCCTGGGGTCACACAAGGTGATGAGGATCAGAGGTAGGCTTTGAACCCAGGCCCTTTGACTCCCAAGTCACTGCTCTTTTTATTATATCTTGATTTGGAAGGTGATTTAGGAAGAGGTCATTTGTAAATGCTCAAAAGAGAAAAATAATTTTCTGTAGAAAATTAAGACAAATTAGTTCCTTTGAGTTTTTTTTACCCCAATGGCTAGTGACATATAAATCACGAATTATATTTGTGAATGTTGAGGCAAAAATGACCCCTCTCTGAATTTCCATTCTGTGGGAGGATATTTTTTCATGCTCAGAAATCAGAGTGGGATCATGACAGAAGGACTTTGGTAAAGTTTGGCCATGTGGGATCTGTGACTTTGGGGAGGATGGTTTTATCTCTTATTTTATTTTATTTTTTGAGGAAAGCAAACAGGACGGGGTTACCTTGTACCTTCTGCATATTTTAAGAGGATGACATTTAGCAGTGCTTTAGAATTCTTGATTTCTGTCTTATCTGTGGCTTCTGCCCAGCCCCCTAGGCTTTTGACCTGTCTCTGTTTTCATCTTAAAATAGCTTCTGCAGCCCCAGAAAATCTTTCTGGGCTGTCCCAGAGCTGGGTCTTAGATGGAGACAAGAGGCACTAGTGGAAGGACCTGAATAGCTCCTTACCAGCCCTTCCACCCAATTATGGGAGGTCATTCTTTGGCCCCTAGGAATTATTAGGTTTATGGAGAGCCCTTCCTTAGTAATGCAAGCACTGGTTGAATGTGGTTCTATAAGGAAGGGTAGGGGTTGATTTAGCAAAAAGGAAGAGGGAAAGGTTTCACAATTCTCCAAGTATATAATAATAATAGTAATAAATTAATAGTATACTAATACAATAATAATATATGTATGATAATAATTAGTTAAGTATTTAATAAAGTATCTATATTTGCACACTATATTACAATGTATTGTCCATATTGTAACAAGAACCATTGTGTATGTGAGAGAAGACAGTGACCCTTTCTCAATGGGAATCCCAGGGATGGAGGAGGGTTCATTTTCATATAAAGTGCTTTGCCAGTGACCTTTGGTTTTTCAGGGTCATTTGATCCACTCTAAATTTTTTTTGGGAGCCAGACTGCTTCAGCTGCAAATGTCAATGACTCAGCCCTTTTGGACTATTGGAACTTCATGAAGAGGCCCTGGGTCATGGTTGTGCCCACCTTGCCTAATACCAGTTATCAGGCAGGTCCTTTTGTTAATGAGTTATGTGTGAAGAGATATTCTTAGAGTTCAAAGGAAACCACCTTTTCCCCAAGTAATTCAGTTTCCAAAATATAAATTATAGAACCCTAGCTCTACAGCTGGAAGGGAATTCAGAGGCCATCTAGTTGAACTCCTTCATTTTACAGATCAGGAAACTGAGGCCCAGAGAGGGGAAACGACTTGTCCAAGCCATGTACAGGCTCATAGCTCTAGACAAAGAAGGGACCTCGGAGTCCACCTCTCTGATTTTACAGAAGAAGACACTGAGGTTCTAGATAGTGCCGCCATCTTTGTCTTTACAAAGAAAGTCTTAGCTTCCTGGAATTAGCCAGGAGCAAGCCCAGTTACTAGGACATGATATTAGAAACTGACCTTAGTTTTTGTTTTTTTTTTCAACCATAAACCCAGAATATATGGAAGTACCTTTGTTTCATGAGCTGAAGGATTTGGGGAAGATTGGCACCGTTGATTGCTGTTCCCATTGAAAAATGGGAAAACTCAGTCATGAGACAAGCAAGAGGTTTGGCCAAGTTGATGGGTTGGTCATGCAGAGCTGGGGTCTTTTTGGATTCCCAGGCCAGGAATCCTCAAACTCACACTTTGAGATTTGTAGGGAATCAGGGAATGATTCTTTTTTTTCCTCACCTTCAGTGACTCTGGGAAACTCAGTTTCTCTACCTGTGTGGGGTAGTGGCACCATAAGCCATAGAATGCTCTGAAAAATACGTTATTTTTATTTACATTATTATCTGGCAGTGTCAGCTCTCTGAATGTTCAAAACAGTCCAAAGTCCTCTCCTCTCAAGACCTTTTGGGATCCCAGCTCTGTCATCTCATGCCTTAGCTTTGCACCCCAGCTTTGTGTCATCTGAAAATTTTATCAGCATGTCGTCTCTCCAAGTGGCTGATAAAAACATTAAAAAACACAAAGTCAAACACAGATCCCTAGGGCCTCCTTCCAAATTGACGCAGGCCCAGTCATGGCTTCTCTGGGTTTGCTCATTCACCCAGCTCTGATTCCACTTAACTGTGTCCTTGTCTAGCCTCCATTTCTTCTTCTTTTCCTGAGAGTAGCTTGAGGGCCTTTGCTAAAATCTTGCCAAACTGTATTTATAGTGATCCCCTGACATATCAGTCGGGTAATCCAAAATGAGTTGAGCATAACACGACCCATTCTTGGCGAAGCCAGGCTGGTTCTGTGATGGTTGCTTCCTTCTCTAGGTACTCACTGACCATCCCTTTATTAAGAATACGTTTTAGGCAGGAATCCCTGCCAAGCTCATTGTCCCGCAGTTTCAGAGCTTTTTTGAGAGTGCACGATCTTCATCTTCAGGCAGTCCTGGACAGACTGCTTTGGTTCTCTGCCATCTTCCAAAAGGTCCCAACTAATAGGTTTTCCAGTCCTTTAGAGTGTAGTTCAAGGCTAGCAAGGGCAGCTCCCTTACTGTCTTCCCACTCACCTTGGGCATCAACTTCCTGGTGGCTGTGTTCTCCTGACCTTTCGAAGGCCAAAGATCATTCTACCCAACTTAGAACCCAGAAGCTGTGTGGGCATCTCCTCTCCATTGGCTGCCATCATTGTCCCAGCTACCTAAGCAGCACTCACCCTCCCCTGCTCCCCAGTGCCTTCCCTCTGGGGTTCCTTCCCATTTGTCCTATGTCTTGTCTGTTCAGATTTGTTCAAATGTTGTTTCCTCCATTAGAAGGTAAGCCCTTTGAGGGCAGTCACCATGGTTGTACCTTCCTTTGTCTCTGAAGTGCCTGGCACACGATCAAGAAATGCTTGTTGACTGGCCGATGCTAAGTCCTTGTACTGGTCCTCTTATTTTCCCCAAACAAATCCACCGTCCGAAATGGCGTGCCCTCATCCTCATCAGCTTTGGTCACCGGACTGAGCGCACGCTGACCTCTAACACGGTGGATGCTCATCTTCTTTTAAAAAAATTATTATTTATTTTCAGCATTCTTTTTTTTTTTTTACACATTTAAAAAAATTTTGAATTCCACATTTTCTGCCTCCCTCCGGCCCCTCCCCCACCCATCGAGAAGGCAGGCGGTGTGCTATTGGGCGCTCTTCGTAAAGGCGTTGTGGCCCAGCGGTAAGAGTGCCATGCTCGGAGGGGTCAGGAGGTCCCTCACTGGCTGCATGGCCCTGGGCACTCACTGAACCTGACTGAGCCTCAGTTTGCCCATGGGTAAAATGGCAGTCATAATAATACCCTCTGTAATACAGAGGAGATAATAGCATCCAGTGCCTGGCAGACTTGAAGGGCCTCAGAGCTGTCTGTCCTCGACATTGCTTCTCGTTATCACAGCCCGTAGGGAGTCAGCGAGGGCGCTTCCCTGCTGGCTTTGTGTCTGGGCCTGGCGTGAGCTGGCGGGCAGTGGCCATGGGGAGTCACTGTCTGGATTCGAGGCCTCCTCAGAAGGACAGCACCCTGCCATGCGCCAAAGACCTACTTCTGTCTGTCTGTCTTGTGCGCGATTTGGCTTTGCTTTTCTGATCGTGTGTGAGGGCCCTGAAAAGAGGAGAAGGGGACGCAGTTGAAGCTAGCGGTTGGTCAGTCCCCGCCGTTTCTTCTTCAGACCAGTCCTTCTTCTCTGCTTCCAGATGTCCTCCCTGAATTCGATGAGATGGATACTTCGAATCCAAACTGCGTTGTCATTGCGGATTCAGGGGACGGCTTTTCTTATCAGAATGTGAACAAGGCATTCCGAGTTCTCGTCAGCCTGGAAAATCCTGTGCTTATATCCCTGGGAAAAGGGTAAGTTGACTCATGGTGTTTTGTGAGAGTTATTAATGAGAGGCAGCAAATGGGCCTCCAAGCTAGGGAGAGCCGGATTCAAATCTAACTTCTGAACCAGACTGGCTGGTGACCCAGGCCAAGTCCCTTAACCTCTGTGTTCTCTATGGACTGCTCATGGAAGAGGGAATGCTGACCTTAGGAAGTCCTTTGGGCTGAGGTTGACCTCCCTGGAGCCCCCACCCACGGGCCTTTCACCTGCTTGGTAGGAAATGTGATCAGAGTTTAACCTTGGAATGGAGAACACCTGTCTTTCTGTCCGTCCGCCTGTCCACCTGTCCATCCACTTGTCTCTGCCATTTTAATCTCAGGTCAAGTCCCCATCCTTATAAATGTGTAATCTCCTCTTTCTTTTATTTGCGGCCTGGAGTGGCCCCTGGGGGTTTAAAGGAGGGCAGGGAAAGGAGAAGACAGAGACAGAGAGAGAAAGAGAGAGAAGAGAAGAAGAGGAGGAAGGAGAGAGAAAGAGAGGGGAGAGAAACAAAGACAGAATTTTTTTCTTGCCCTTTTCCAGTTATGTTCTGAAACAAGAACGCTGCCCCCACCCACCCGCCCAAGTCCCTCAACCTGAGGAACAGACCTGAGGCCAGAAACAGACCTCCAGCCCAGCCCAAGAGCTGTGTGAGCAGGGCTTCATTTCCCTTCTGTTTAAAGGAAGGTAGAGCAAGAAGATGGGCCTTCAGGCCTGGAGGAGAAGTCTTGGGTTCCATGGGGAGCAGCCCTCTCTCTTATCAGGCTTTTTAATGGAAGGTATTTTGTGGTCCAAGTTAACAGTTTTTAAAAGGTGGAATTGAATGGTAAGTGTAGGGAACTCCTGTGTGTGGAAAGTCCCTCTATTTATGCAGATTGGTCACTCATCTGCCCCAGTGGTCTTGGAGAGTTACCCAGAGTCCTGATGTTAATGGACTTGCCCAGGGTCACGCAGCTAGTTAGTGTCAGAGGCTGCACTCAGTCTACCTCTGTGACTCCAAGGCCAGCCTTCTCACCCCTCTGCCAGCCTTCCACTCAGCGTGGGCATACCAACTCTGAATTTTCGTTTTAACATTTTTGTTCTCTGAATCTGTCCCGTCCTGATGCCTCACTGTGACCCATGGGTGTGGGTAATGGGTGTTTTTGCCTTTCTTTGTAGCTGCAGATCTTCGCATTGAGTCTGGCACGTAGTAAAGGCTTCATAAATGCTTGTTGGCTGCCTGGCTGGCTGACTGCCCCAACCTGGAAAGGCCTTGAGTGTGAGTTGATGACTCACCATAGTTTTCTTGTCTAAGGACCAACCTTAGCCCTGGAGGAGCTGGCCCCAGCTTAGGAATCTCCTGGTTTTAGGCATTCTGGAAAACTGCTACCGAGTCACTGGGGAGGGAGCGGGGATTGTGGGGATGATCAGTGGAGGGGGAATCACGGATCCGTGGAGTACTGAAAGGCAGAAGCTGAGGGTTGCCAGGGATCTTGGAGGTGACCTGAAGCTCCTCCTACACTATCCAGAATCTGACCTGGGGCATCCGGCTTCTTCTTGTATACCCTCTGTGACATGGAGCTCATTACCAGGCAACCTGTTCCATGCTTCTAGTCTTCAGGAAGTCCTTTGGGCTGAGGTTGACCTCCCTGGAGCCCCCACCCACGGGCCTCTCACCTGCTTGGTAGGAAATGTGATCAGAGTTTAACCTTGGAATGGAGAACACCTGTCTGTCTGTCCGTCCGCCTGTCCACCTGTCCATCCACTTGTCTCTGCCTTAAGCAGCACCACATGCTAAGTCATTTCTCATTGAAAGTGTCTTCTCTCCAAATGTAGAAAGTCGTTAATGGCGTGACTCCTAATCCTTAGTGGTGAGAAGCCTCATGGGATGATGAGCATCCCATTGGGAGTGTGGAGAGCCGGGTTCCAGTCCGGCTCACAGCCTTCTTTGCTGTGATAGAGCAGTAATAATAATAATAACAATAACACCAGATGATAGACAACAGCAGGTGTCTATGAAGTGCTTGAAGGTTTCTAAGGCATTTTACAGGTTTTCTCACTTGGTCTTCCTGAGCCTCAGTTTCCTCATTTGTAAACTCTTCAGACAGCACAGGACTATGAGGAGAGCGCTTAAGACACCTGTAGACTACAGAAATGGGCGTCCCAGCGCTCTCTTCTGTAATCTGAGCGCAGCCTCAAGTGAAACAGAGTCAGCCTGCCTTGTGTTTTACATGTGGTATGTTTGGCGTCAGCTTCTCTCTCCTCATTACATTACAAAGTCAGGTTGGAGGAAAGAATCTCTGAGGATTCACCTGCTTCTGCATCCCTTAGCATCAGGAGGCAGGGTTCACGGGGGGGGGGGGGGGGGCTGATCTCGAGGTCAGGGAGACCTGAGTTCTAATTCTGTCTCAGACACTAGTTGTGTGACCCAGGGCAAGTCAACCTCTGCTTGCCTTGGTTTCCTCATCTGTAAAATGGGAATCACAATAGCCCCTACCTCTCAGGGTTGTTGTAAGGATTAAATGAGATAATATTTGTAAAGCACTTGGCAAACATTGGTTTTTATTGGTATTCTTATTTTTATGATTAACATTGCTGACAGCTTATCACCTTTTGGGGGGTTAAATATTGATTGGAAGTATTCCTTGACCCCTGGGTGCTCAAAACGAGGGAAGGGAAGCTGACAAAGGCAATATTGGGGCACGGGGTGGGGTGGTTAGAAACCTTGTGCCCTGCTCACAGCCACTCAGTTCCTGCCCATGTGGCTGCCCAGGCCAGCCAGGCCACCTGCCCTCCAGCATCCACAGTTCCCGGGCTTTTTGGAGAGCCTGCCTCCTGGAGAGGGAGTGATTTACATTTAGCATCTGTTTGGGGCTGAGACGGGGAATTGGCTTTGTAATTTCCTCTGTCACGCCACTGTCAGAAAATTAAGCTGTTTACGCCATAGACCACAGAAGGTTAATGGCTGTTTTGGGAAAGGTCAAGTGGTCATTTTAGAGAGAGGCCGTTCTGTATAATCGGAAACGGCAGCAGAATAAAGCATAAAATCGCATCTGACTGCTCCCAGCCCCCTTGGCAGCCATGTATGGACAGGGAGACAGGCAGGCACAGATAGGCGGACAGATGGATAGGTGGACAGACAGATAAGAGGGTAGACAGATGGGTGGATGGATGCACAGATAGACGGACAGACAGGTAGATGAACAGGCAGATGGGTGGACAGACAGATAAGAGGGTAGACAGACAAAGGGATGGACAGGCATATAGATGGACAGACAGGTGGACAGACAAGAGGATGGGTAGGCAGACAGGCTGACAGATGGACAGGTCCACTTAGCTGCTTCTCTCCAAAAAGTTGCTCATCCGAATTCTTTTTCTAATAAGAAAGGATAAAGCCACTCAGTGGGCTTCTGAGCATTGGGAGCCCAGGCCTGGTTGAAAAATGAAAGGAAATACTTTTATTTACTTTGTATTGGGAAATGTGTTCAGTGTACACTTAGCCTCAAGATAGTTTCATTTTTCTGAATTACGAAAAAATCAAGAGAAATCCCAGGCAGGGAAAAAACCAACAACAATAACCCAGCAGGTTCTGGTTTTTCAATCAAAACATAAATGTTGAAATGACTAATTTGGGGGGAAGGCGATGGGGAAGGGAGAGCTTAATTTGACTTTTATTCCCCAGCATAGCCAGGCCTCCCACCCCCAAGTCCTGGTCCTAAGGATGTTGAGGATAAAGTGATTCTTTCTGAATTGAGGAAGGGATTTCACTCTTTCCCCTCTAAGGCAGAAGCTGAAGATTTTGTCTCTCAGCCACAGTGCGAGATTCTTCTGTGCTGTGGGGCTCAGGAGGGCTCAGTCGGGCTCAGTCCTGGACTTCAGCTGGACAGAAAGCCAGAGGCAAGCCTCAGGGACCCGCAGGCTGGGAGTGTGGGGGCCCTCTCTTCACCACCCCTGAAAGCAGCGCTCATCCACCCCTGCTTGTAGGCCCCATTAGGGGGACCCCGCAATGCCCCAAGGCAGCCCACCCCACTTGGGCACCATTTTTATTGTAGGAAATTTTCCCTTCTCCCAAGCTGAACACTGCCTCTCTGCCGCTTCCCCCAAGGCTGTGAGATCTGCCCTCTGGGGCCAGGCTGAACACGGCTAATCCCTTTTCCACTTGACAGCCTTTGAAATACTCGTTGGCAGCCATCCTACCTCCCCCTCCCCCTGCACAGCCCTACACAAGCTGCCTGTCTTCCCTCCCTTCTACCCTCTCGGATCCAGCCAAACTGTCTTCCCTTCCTTCATAACCCGTCACGTCCCATTGCCGGGTGTTTTCCCGGGCTGTTCCCCATGCCTGGAATGCCTTCCCTGCTTACCTTCACCTCACAGAGTCCCTGTCTTCTTTAAGACACAGCTCGGGTTCCAGCTTTGTCTGCACAAAGCTTTTCCTGGCCCCCCCTTCTGCTAGTCGGCCTCCCCAGACGTAGATTTTAATTGATTCATTCCGCGTTGCTGTTGTAGATCGTTTTATATGATAGATATAGTTTTATATATTTGGTGCGCAGTAGGTGTTTCTTAAGTGCTTATTGACTGGCTGACATAGTAGGTGCTTCATAAGTGCTTATTGGCTGGCTGACATAGTAGGTGCTTCATAAATATTGCTTGATTGATGAAAACTCCCAGGTTCTTCTAGCAGATCCTTCCCCACCCCAGCAGCCCTTCTTTGGAGGTGCCAGCTTGTCGGTGCCCTGCCTTCCTGCCAGTCAGGTCACATAAGGACAGGAAGCTTGGCTTGAGTCCCAGCTGCTCAGATGACCAAAGTAGGTTTATTGCGCATGTGACTGGGATCTCACAGGCAAAGAGCAGGGCTCCTTGTCTCATCCCCTGGAGCACAAATGGTTAACTTACATCATTGCGGAAGGAATTGCAGCTGACCACTATAGCTCCTATTGAGATTGAGTCTGGAGTCTAAAACTATTCAGTTTAATTTTACAAACAGCTCCTGTGTGTAGAGCCCTGGGGAAAG